GTTGATAGTTTGGCTGTAGTCAACAACCATCCGGCGTTTGTGATTGATACCCTTAGTAATCAAAACCTGCGCTCTCCAGGGAGACGTTGACGGTTCGATGATGCCTTCTTGCAATAAGCGGTCAACTTCGGCGCGAATGAATTTTTCATCATCCGGATGATGCCTTCTTGATTTGGTTGCAACAGGCTTGCAATCTGGAGACAAGTTGGCGAAAAGTGATGGTGATTCAACGTTTACAGCCGTCAGGCCGCAGATGGTGAGCGCATCACGATCCCCGCCGAATGAAATTTCTACCTTGCCATGTAGACCTAGAAAGTCATGCCCGAGTAAAACGTCGGTGCAGAGGTTTGGCATTACAAAGAGCTTCAGTTCACTGTATGAGGTATCTCTGTATCGGACAGAAACACAAGCGTAACCAGTCGTTCGACAAGATAGGGATGTAGACGCCATTGTGACGACTGAGAAAGTTGGATAAATTTTCCAATTATGCAGTTTCACGACCTTAGCGTTAATGAAACTGCAAGAACTCCCTGTGTCGACCAGAGCACGGAGAGTGATGCCATTGACTTCGATAGTTGCGATGGCATGCGCCAGGCAGGTAGGAGCTGCTGCAACGAATAATGACGATAAAGTAGGCTTTGTTGTACAACTTGTGTGGAACTTGGAGGTATTTTTTGAACGGCACACGCGGCGGAAGTGACCGCGTTTACCACAAAGATTGCAGACGGCTTCGCGAGCGGGGCACTTTGGACGAGGATGTGCATCATAACCGCAGAAATAACATGTCTGAATGGATTTTACAGCAGCAGTGGTGGGATCAACACGCAGTTCGGGATTCTGTGAAATGGGTGGAATCGTAGAGCAAGATATGGGTTCGTTACTAACATATGACTGTGACTGTTTGTGAGCCAATTCGAGGGATCTAGCCAGCTGATATGTTTGGTCCAGAGTGAGTTCGCTTTGTGCTAGAAGCTTCTCGCGGATGGATGTGGACGCCAGGCCATTAATTATAGCATCACGCACGCACTCATCTTGATATTCAGTTGCAGACACAGATTTAAACTCACAGTCTTTGGCTAATGATTTCAGTTTTTGTACGAACTGATCGATATCTTGTCCACTCTCCTGTTTGTAGGTCTGTAGCAGGTAGCGTGCATATATGACATTTTTTGGACGGACATATAATTTCCGTAACGTGGCGATTGCAGATTCATAGTCGGTGTGATCAGCAATGTGATCATATACTAACGGATCCACAAAGTGGATGAGAGTTTCAAGTTTGTCGGGTTTAGAAGATTCGACGGTTTTCAGATAGGTTTCGAAGGTACAAAACCAGTGATTCCAGCGTCTTGCTACGTCTGCGGAGTTTGGGTCAGCGTCGAAGAACCGAAGTCGTAGTTGCGAGTCCATTGTGTTCTTAGACAAGTAAATTGAGACGTTTAGAAATAGTCCGAGAACGAGTTAGAACAGAGTCCAGGTTTTCGAGGATAAGCAACGTTTTACTTGTCTAAGAACAAGCGTACATGAGCTGAAATGTACATACAAAAGTTCAGTACGAGTATATATGGTAAGTATAAGAATAAGCACACAAAAATCATGACGGAAATGAAGAAGACTTTCGCTGCAGGCAACATCCACGCCTTGTTCCAACTGATTCGATCAACGGGTCAAAAAGAGGCAGGTGTCAGTGAAACAATATGCGAAAAAGATAGAGCAATCCACTCCCTCATTCGCCTTCTTGAGCGGTGGGTCGAGCACTTCGAAGAACAGTTCATCTGGTCTCCTTCAACACAACCGCTGGAAGAACTAAGCGGGCCAGAATGGAACATGACACCAACCCATCATAAGCAACCGAAATCCAGCGTGAAATTCCAACCCTGAATCGCGATAAGGCACCTAGCCCGGAAGGTCTACACCGCGCGCTCTTCAAAGAGGATGGCGAATTCCTGGTGAATAGTCTGACAACCACACTGCAGAAGATTTGGAACCGAAACAGAATACCAGCGGAATGCAGCTTCTCAACCGTCATCTCAAATTTCGGAAAGGAAGAATGAATGTCACGTGAAAACCTTCGTGGTTCCAGCCTGATATCGTCGCATCCAAGGTGCTGTCTGGCATTGTTTTGCGCAGATTGATCGATTATCGGGAAAGACAGATTCGTGAGAATCAAGCTAGGTTTCTCCACGGTCGAAGATGAATCGACCGTGTCTTTACCTTGAGACAAATTCTTGAACAGCGTCACTCCTTCAGACGTCCCACGTTGGTGTGGGTGCCCTGGCAGTATCCCAGTCCTCGTGCAACCATGACATTCACGACCATCAATGCTCTCATGCCACATCGGCCGTCGTGTAATGCCGTCAGCCGGGTCGCCTTACTTGCTGCATACAGCAGGGCGGGTAACGGAAAACAAACTATAGCTAACACCTCCCTTCTTTCTCTTTCATATGCTTTTTCTCCCCCTTCTCTCTCCCCCATTAATAACTCTCTCCTTGTAGGTCCAGCACTTAGGACTGATGACTCCGTTCGTCATGCATCGGTTTTGCGTGCAGCATCTGCTCGTCACATGGCGCCGACGTCTTAAGGAATCTCCAAATCAGTCCTCAAGCCTTGACATCCAGTCTATCTGGCCGCGTTCACTGTCTGCACTCTGAAGCAAGCAGGACAACAAGCTGCTTTTGCACTCAAACTGGACTCGCTTGGCATTGGTGTGTGCTGTGTCTCGGAAACTAGAATTCAAGATTCAAGCACATTGATTGAGCCAACCATCCCATCAGTCTCCAATCGCTTCAGGCTGCACACCTCTGGTGATCCAGAGGCTGCTGCAGTGGGATATGCAGGGGTTGTTATCGTGCTAAGTCACCGGCCACAAACTCAAATGGACCACATTGTCATCAGTTACCGATGGCGCGGATCAATAACTGACTGTCGGAATGATTGTGGTGAGCTAGCACTAAGTCCCTTCCCTGTCCACGTTTACTCTTTTCTTCACAATAAGGCTTTGAAATAAATCATGGTTGTATGGAAGTGAAACATCAGTGTTGAACACTGATGTCATGCTGTCGATGATGATGATGATTTGAAAGCTGCTTCTGATTCTGTCGATCGTCAGCAGCTTTGGCAGTGTCCGGCGATCAAACGTGTCCCTTCCAAATTTCTAGCCATCATGAGGGCACTGTATGCGAACTCCTGTGGGTGTGTACGAGTATACGGTAAGCTCTCGCCTGAGTTCACTACCTCCAGTGTAAGTCAAGACTTTCCTCTGTGACTGATATGGTGTTTGAAATTTCTCTGTCTGCCTCTGAAACCTCGGGAGTTGAAATCCCCAGGGACGTTCCCTCATAGACATTGAGTATGCAGGCGATATTGCTCTCCTTGGTTCAGATCATATCCAAATGCAAACAGTTTGAAACAACCTAAGTAACTCTGCCGCATGGTTTGGCATGCGCTTCACACATGAAAAGTGTAAAGTGCTTCTACAAGACTGGGTGGGATCAAACCCACATCTCATTCTTTCAGGTGAGCCAATCGAGGTGGTAGATAAATTTGTTTACCTGGGCATCTGCATAAATTCCGGTAGACTAGCTGGAGATGAGATCATTTTTCGAATCGGAAAGGCCAGGGCAGCTTTTGCCAACCTCCGAAATCTATGGCGCCGACGTGACGTGAGTTTGTCTGTCAAGGGAAGAGCTTACACTGCGTTGGTGCGATCCATACTGCTCTATGGATCGGAGATGTTGGCTCCGCGCGCAGAGGACAAACGGAAGATGTCAATGTTTGATCCTCGGTGTCTCCGCAGCATTGGTCAGGCCTGGATGGACCATCGGATTGGTAATGCTGAGGAAACGCCAGATGGTCCTAGGAGGAAGGAAATCTCCCACGATAGATCAATTACTCACGCTTCATAGGTTGCGCTGGTCGAGGCATGTACTCCGCATGCCAGAAGACCGTCTGCCTCACGAAGCTTTTTTTCCAGCCCTGTACTGAGTGGAGCCGACCGGGAGGTGGATAGTGTATGACATGGCAACGAAGTAAGAAAACACTAATCAGTAAACTTAGTCGGGCGGGCAACTGCCGGCTCTCCGAATGGGGACTTCGGGACTCAAATCAGCAGTGGTTGATGACATTCGCAGAAATGGCCTAATCGCGCAGTCAGTGGCGCTCATGTATCAAAGCTATCGCCTTTAATGCGTAGCTTCCCAATTTCCGAACAAACTGAATATGCGTTCGCCTCCAAGGCTTGGTTGTACATTGCACACCCGCGCTTTGCGGTGATCGAAACCGTAGCGGCTGGGACCAATGTGCCTATGGTATACGGTTTATAGCTGATAGATAGATTGATTGAGTTGCTAGATAAATGGCATCTTATGAATCATTCATGTCATGACGGTCAAACAAAACGCTCTATCCGGAGAACGGCGGCGGCCAAACCTGTGGCAAGTCTTGCACTCTCTCCCAATGTGAGATGACCTCAAGATTAGTCACCTCAATCTCAGTGCTGTCACTGAGTGTTACTTACTGAAAATACCACTGACTAGACAAAGATTCACCCCGTTATCCACGTGTTTTTACCGCCTATCCACCATGCGCTGTTCATTCGTGACTTGCTCCACAAAATGGTCAGACCCCTGTCCACTTCCTAGGGATGGGTACCCGAGACAAAAATCCGTCCCACTCGGAGCACCGGGTGTACCGTGGTGCCGAAATCCAATGGGTTGAATTGTTTACTTGATTGTTTGCGGGTTCGTGCAGGTAATTTTTAAAACCACTTGATCATAAATAGCTTCACAAGTTTACCATACAGACCGAAACGAATCGATATTATCCTTATATTTTGTTTCAGATAGGCGGACTTGATAGGGTCACTTGGTGGCCCGGTACAACGGATCTTCCAGGGGAGTTGGTTGGTTCAAGTCAAAAGGCCACTTTTTATCTGTCTCCACCGTCGTTCGAATTCACTAAAGCGAATCAACTGGACCTCAGCGAACAATACGGATGCGAAAATGTCTTTCCTTTTCTCACTATTCGTCTATCTGAGCGCCAATCCTTGTGCTACCACTGCGCCCATCAATGATACTGCTGTCGGAAGTAAGCTCCTTCTAATATCACTCGATGGGTTCCGTCATGACTATATGGACAAGGCTTTGGCCTTTGGCGTGAACATATCTGGCTTTCAGCGAATTTGGTCATCCGGCTTTCGAGTGTTGAGAGTTGAAAACGAATTCATCACACGTACCGCACCGAATCATTTTTCGATGGTCACTGGCCAGCATGAAGAAACTCATGGCATCGTAGACAATGTGTTCTTTGACCCGGAATTGAACCAGACATTTGTGTTGAGCAATTCAACCCAGGCGACTGAGTCACTTTGGTTTGATGTGGGCGCTGAACCTATTTGGGTAACCAATCAGCTGCATGGTCATCGAACAGGTGTCACCTCTTGGCCAGGTAGCCTTGCACCCATAAAAGGACATCTTCCATCTGTGCATTATCCTGTTTTCGACTCAAATATTTCTTTCAGGAAGTCGATCGAAGATGCACTTGGTTGGCTCGAGCGTGACGTAAATCTCGCCCTACTGTACCACAGTGAACCAGATGCAACTGGTCATAAGACTGGTCCTGGTTCGGTCGAAGTTTTGAATGTTATCGCCAATCTTAATCAAGACTTGGAGTATCTGCTAGACCGGATACGAAGAAATCCAAAGTTGAACCGCTCTTTGAATCTTATAGTGACGAGCGATCACGGTATGTCAGACGTGGATCCACAGAGGGTGGTTGTTTTGGATGATTTTTTGGACGAAACAATGTACACCAGTCCTGGTCCGGCTTCCCGTGTAATATGGGGTCTATGGCCCAGAGGAGGTACGTTCCCATTTCCGATATTACGTCCCCAGCAGAATTCACCGTAGGTCACCTAATAGACAAACTGAAATACAAGCATCCGAAAATGATTGTGTACCGCAAGGATGAATTGCCCGCACGGCTGTTTTATTCTCACAGTCGTCGTATCGCGCCGGTTGTTGTGTACGCCGATGTCGGCTGGATGATCGCGAAGTCCAAGAAAGATGCGATGTCACTAGGTAAGCTCGTTGGGCAGAGCTTTCTGCTTTCCGCTCAGTATGTGGTCGCCGCATAGTACCTTTCTCACCGTGCCCGCGCTTTTCTCATACTTGATGCTTCCTTTTTGATGCTAGTTCCTATGGGGGGATGAGCCGACTCTATGTAGAGCGTTTGCCACCATAGGGGCTAGTGGGTACTCGGAGCATATGGTATTCTCGTTATCACGTGATATTTGTTCCACTGCATCTGGCGGATGTCGTGAAATGTTTCGTATAGCCAAGATATTGTTATTTCTTATGGTATTCGAAGCCTACGTACGAATCTCAAAGGCTTGAGTTAGTCTACCAATGCCTACTTCTTGTGACATCAGGAGGCCCTCAAGTAATGTATGTGTCAGACCACGATGGAGGCTGTATTTTAATGTCGTAAGATTTGGTTTTCAAGTATGGACGATTGGAGGTATCCCTTTGTCTTTGATTACCAGTTTCTCAGAACCATCGCTAGAATAAGATATCAGTAATGCTGTGGCATGATTAGGGCACTGTTACTAGGAATAAGTGCGTCCAACACTACTAGTATCAATGGCTTGGTGGTACACTACACATTCCGAGTTAACAGAATCGTCGACAAGGCTAGCGGGACATCAGTAGTGAGTGATGGTGCTGAATTCTCCATCTACCCTAACGAGCCTTGTTTTGTGCTCCACATTAAAAGTAATGTCAATAAGGAGAGCAGGAAAACCGTGAGTCAACAACAGGAAACAGGTGTTCTTAGTGTAATCAGCCATTTTTGTGGCCCACGTTACACTCCTCGAAATTAGTTAGAGACGTTCCTCATCAATGTGAATGGCATTCGTGTTGTGAGCTTTTCTGCGGATTGTCTGAAGGGGTTTTCAGGATTTTGGTCACCCTATAAACTTGCGGTTGGTGTGCGCTAGGCCCGCCTCACATATGTCGGATGTTTTCATTAACAAGCATACCATGATGGAAAGGGTCACGCCCAACTTCTTTCAGCTGTTTGAATGCTTTGTGACAGAGTGACCGATTTTGGATTTACTGCGGTTGGTTTCCCATTACCCATCGGATAACTCAGCGGTGCCAAAAATTATGAGCGCCATATATATATATATATATNTTGGTTTCCCATTACCCATCGGATAACTCAGCGGTGCCAAAAGTTATGAGCGCCATATATATATATATATATATATATACGTAAGAAATTAAGAAACGAGCATACTCGTTAACTGTTGTCATTTTGCTTCTACCTTGCTAGAAACTAAACCCTGCTTTCCGTTTAGGTCACCGAGGTGAACATGGTTACGACCCAGATTCACCAGATATGGCTCCATTTCTCCTGGCTACTGGTCCCGGATTCAATCGCTTCCCACCAAACCACACTATACCTTCGATCCGATTGGTTGACATTTACCCCATGATGTGTCACATTCTTGGCCTGGACAAACCCGGTCCACATAATGGTAGTCTTTCTCGCGTCTCTTATTTATTGCGATCAGTGACCACTGAATCTCCTTCATGGTTTCATTCCACCTGGGATAAACTCACCGGTATGCTATTGTGGTACCCGTAGTACTGGATTTTCCATTCTTTCATTTGTTCATTTTTCACGAGTTCAGGCATTCCTTTATGCACCGTCTGTTCATTTTGGTCCACTCGGGTTCCAGTGGATCCCCGCTACCGTTTGCAAGCCATATGGATTCCGTCACTACGTTACTAATCTAACGTCTCAGTCGGATAGGCCCAACTCCTGACAATAGAAACTAGCATTCCTCTATTTCGACTTGTCTGAACTGTGTGATTATTTATTCATTTGTTTAGTGTCAGTCAAGCACTAGTTACTTTCTTCATATATGTACCTCATGTAGCTACCTGATTTCGATGAAGGGACTCGGAAGTTCTCGAATAGCGGGTAGTGAGCTCGATAAGCCGTCATTTTGTTTGAGTGGCGAATTTTTGTCCTGCTTAGATTTTGACTATAATGTTTTCTCAACTGTTGATCACTTTGGGTGATTCACGTCCTTTATGCAGTGATAAGAAGGTGCCTGAATAGGACGTTTGAGCCGTGACAATTTTCGTAGATAGCTACAAGTGCTGACATATCGCCAGCTGGTCTGGGACCAGAAAATGGTGATCGAAAGGTTGTGTTTGTGTCAGTAGCCTCAAGTATTAACCGCTGAACTATGTCAAGCTGGGCAAGACCGTCAGGTGTGCCCATTTGAACCAAACACAACGTTTTCTGTTTTCAACTTCCAAGGGACAGCTTTGATCTGGGTCTTACTGGGGCAAGTCTTTCGTGCTACCTGTGTGTGGGTGACCACGGAGTACCATGGACTATCAATGTATATCTATCGATCCTTCTTATCGTGGAGCTTTGTCCATATAACCCCCCTTTAAAACGACCGTGTATCTGCGCACGCGCTCTCAGGTACCAGGCTACTCATCCTTTTATTACCACTTTGATGCGACTGTATTCGCTTAGCTTTTTCGTATTTCCACTCTTGTCCCAGTAGCAGATGACCCCAGCAGCTGGTTGAGACTGTGAATCTGATACCGCTGTTAGCGAAATACACTCATTTGCAAACTGATTTGGTTTTGCGGGAGACTCACCAGGAACCCAGCTGAATCTCTGGTTTATGATGTCTGATGCAATTTGGGTTCAAGTAGAGCACAAGGTTGACGGGAACCCGGGCACTTCGCCTACCTGATGAGTCCCAATAAGGGCGAAACTGGTCGTGGGCTGCTGAATAATTTTCAGCAGTCCTATGAGTAGTGTATTACTTGTATACATGTATCGCGATATCTCAAATACCGTATCAAGTGAAACATGAGGCGGCCTAGTGCATCAAATTAACATCACATGACGGTTTCAGCTCTGACCTTCGATCTGTTTTTGGTCAGGACACAGTAAACATCGATTTCTGTTTAAGTGGGTTATTTTCCGTGTCTCTTTATCGGATTCATCCATATACAAATTTGATTAACCCAGAAATATGAAATAGATGTGCCAGAAAAGTCAGCTGATTATTAACCAGTTAAGTGGTTTAAATAACCGGGGTCATTCCTGGTCAACAAGGCTGCTTAAGTAAAGGACTGGGGTCCATTAGCACACCACAGCACATTCAGTTGCTTAAAATCACCATAAACGAGAGATTCAGCTGGGTTTCAGGTGAGTCTTCCGCAAAACCAAATTGGTTTGCAAACGAATGTATTTCGCTAATTTCGTGCAGTTTGGATCTGTCGGAAACCCAGGGACCGCGCCTACCTGATGAGTCCCAAGGAGGGCGAAGCCGTTCGTGAGCTGCCGGAGAACTTTCAACAACCTTATGAGTAGTGTATCACGTCTGATAGCGTTCTGTTTTTTGGTAATCTCTTCTAAACGTCTCGCTTAACTCCAGTAAGTTCATCACTTTGACAACATGGTGCCTGTTACCATTCAAGCGCCCGAAGTTGTGTATCTCGGAACCTGGATTTGATTTAAGGGTAGTGGGATAGGTAATCTCATTGAGCGAATCCCAGATACCGGAGTTACTTCACAGAGATATGCATTCAGCTTCAGAGGACTTGCCTTTCATACTACCGTATGGGCTTTGGTCAGCGCATTGTTTATGAAGAATCAAGTGCTTCGTATGACAATCACGTCCGTCACTGTAAGTCTCACTGAACAGGTAGTGTGCCACTTATCTACCTGGAAGTACCGTATACGGGTAGGTGAACAAACTATGACTCGGTAGAAGATGACGTCCTGGCGCTGTTGGTGCGGTCGGCCTTTCGGGATAGTGTCTGCGTGACTCTCCTTGTGCTTGGGAAGAGACACTGAATGTTACGGATGTGAACTAAGTATTTGTGATTTCAGCATCTATCTACACACATCCCTCCAATTTTTATTATTCATCAGTAAGACCTAGTCAAACAAACTGACTTGTTGTACGGCAGTGAATTACCGATCTCTTTTTTTCAGTACCCGGTTTTCTTCTTTCGTCCTTCCCTCTAGTTGATGAAATCAATGCTGCAGTTGGTTCAGATTGTCTCTTTAAGTCTACAAACGGTGAATTCTCGTGTTTCGAACACGTGAGCCGGAGCACTCTGTACGCAGGTTCATTAACCACAAGTCCCACAGAGACTGCTTACTGTGCTTGACCAGCAGTTCAGTTAAAGCTCACCGAATCGGTTAAAGGGCCAGAGACCAACCGTCCGTTCTACTTACCAATCAACTTTATCCCACATAGCTCCTCACGTAAAACAACTCTGCCTAGACATAGTGTCGTGCATTGATGGCTTCAGTCTACCATGATTCAAACGAATTGGGTTGTAGGTACGTAGTTACCAAACTTCCGGAGACAAAGTGTCCGTTATCGAATAGATAAGTGCGAGAGGGTACAAAAAACATCATCAAATCGGATTTGAGGACAGTTGTGAGTCCACATTGTCATAGTGGACTAGAGTGCACCACTATTGAATACGGATATGCAACTGTCAAACACCTGTGGAGAGAGATTGCCCCCGTAAAGAAGAAAGAGAAAATCGAGCGTGCAAAAAGGTTCATTCCCATCAAGACAGCTACACCGTCGAACGATATTGAAATCAGCCCATCTATATGTTAGAGTTGGAGTCTGTCGGCTGGACCGACCCAACATCTTTTGGAAAGATTGCTCGACAGAAGCCTAGCATACAACGGCTGACGTGTATGTCTACAGATGTGTTCTTTGATAAAAGGTTTAACTTGGTCATACTTGGGTGCCTATTCACTGCAAACTTGGAAATCGAGCCTCTGATATACGGTTTGCTGGTTCAAATATCACCTACTTTCTAGTGGCTTTTGTCCAGCTCCCTTGCCTCCCTCGGATTGTATGGATATCACGGTCAGCAAGACAAAAACTCATTCAGAGTACCAAAATAATATCACACGACAGCTTCAGTTTTGGCCTTCGATCTGTTTTTGGTCAGAACAAAGTAAACATCGATTTGTATAGATGCGTGGATTATTTTCGTGTCTCTTTATCGGATTCATCCATATACAAAGGTGACTAACCCAAAAATCTGAAATAGGGGTGACTGAAATATCAGGTGATTATTAATCAATTAACCCGGTGGTTTAAATAACCGGGGTCGTTCCTGATCAAGAAGGTTGCTTAAAGGAAGGGCTTGAGTTTGTTAGCACACTGGCGGCTTCCAGTATGGGATTAACAGCGCTATTTGTTTTTCTTTAAATTTTCCTTGGTGGTTTGAGCTCTTGAGTGACTGTGTGAACGTTTGTGTTGCGCTGTTTCCACATGCCAAAGCAAAATGAAACATGCTAGCAACTAAAATTCGGTGAAAATATCCTGTCGTTTGTCTGGCTTGATGTACGCACCATTGTCAAAGGCTGTCGTAACTAGACGCGAGCAAAATTCGCGGCAAAAGATCGTGACGATGATGATTGAACAGTTACTTGCTATCCTCCTTGTAGCAACCAGTGAGGCAGAGACTCGCAGGTCGAGTGGTGGTATCTCTCCAAACCACGGTATGAACTGTCTACTAATGTGAAACGGGTGCATCGAAGTGGTCCAACGAGATGTTTGTCTTCCGATCAATGACGATCCTGTGGATGCCATGCGATCACTCAGTCGGATGCGGTTTTTTATTTCCATTTTGGATCCTCTTTGCATCAAGTTGAGTTAGTTTGCCAAACCATTATTTGCCATTTTGCAATACATCAATTTCTTGGAAGCACGTGCCCTGTAGATAATCTTCAGCTAGTTAGAACCTGATCAGTGCTTCGGTGGATGGGCAAAGTTTCCCAAGGTTTTTTTTAAAAAAAACCGCCTTCGAAGGAGAATAACTCATTTCCGCAGACTCCGTGATCTGCGTTTGAATAAATTTCAGTTTATTTCTCTTATTGGCGAATTTACGGGGTTACATTAGTGCTACCCAAATGATGGTAACCTGTAAGAAGCGTTCACCTGTTTTTTGCGGCTCAATGCTGTGCTTCTTTCTGTTGCGCGTTTCGTTTATTTTGCCGTTTCCTCACGGTCTCACTGTTCTTCATCACAGTCGTCATATCGTAAAGTATCATGCGTTCTAAGGTGCTATGTTCGGTTTTGTTGCGGTTCATTCTGAAAGGATTGTTCTTGTTGTTGTCTCTGGTATAAATTGCCCACTTCACATTCTCTCCACCTCAGCTCTACTGATTTTCACCTTCGTGGTACTTGTGTCCGCCACGCTGGTGGCTTTCGCCTGTCTGGTGCATTGCCGTCTGCGAAATCGGTGGATGCATCTGCAACGTCGTGCTCGACAACGAAGAGATGTGGAACACCTGCAACAAGGCGTGCCCATGAGGCACCTGAATACCTCAAGAAGCCATCCTGGTGGCCAGAGTTCCAAGACGAACGGCGCTGCACTGCATTCAAACTCTCCTGAGGATGTACAGCGATTGCTACTCGCCGCAAACGATGATGATGAAGTGGAACAATTTAGTCGACAATCCAGATTTTATGTGGATGATTCGACCTTGATCGGAATGCTCCATGACCCCCAATCTCGCTTTCCGTAGGTCGTCGAACCCAACCTGATAGGATACATTCCGGACCCTATCTTTTCCAACTTTACGACGAGTTTCCGGACGAATTCTTGTATTTCCAATGTAATTTTGCTTTGTCTTTCTTAATGTCCACTTGTGGGTGTTTGTGACGAGACCACAGCTTTTTTGTTTATTTTTCTACTACATGCCACTGTTTTCCAAATCGGGTCACTCCGAACCTTTGATGGCGATTATCGATTTTCTTACTCAAAACAGCTTTGGGTGAACACTGTTTTGCTCCGCATTAGAGAGCGATTAGTATTGTAAACACTTATGGTAACAGCATTTTACTTCTACGGGAGACTTAGGGACTAGTTGACCTCCCGATGGTATCTGATATCTCACGACAATTTGGGTGGATAGGTTAGAATCATCACTTTACTCTTCTCAGTCCTAGACCTTGTGACCAGACTCGGCTGAACTCGCAGTTGCGCCATAGCTGCGTCATCAACATTCACAGCAATACACCAGAGCCGTGTGGGGTCCCAAGAAGCCGCTCTGTCAGTCCTGCTTTTACCGAGTCAGTTGTAAACAGCGGGCATAAAGGCATACTCACAGAAGATCCCGTGCGAATGATTTAGTATCTTTTAGAAAACCGGAAGCACTAACTTCTTTATTTTGAGATATGGTGGCTGTATATGTGCTGAGGGAGTCGTCGAGTTCCTTCCTAAAGAGGGTATATGAAGAGTCCGAAGCTGCCAAGAGAGAAGAGACGTTGGTTGATTGTTACACTTGAAGCGCGAATTTCTTTCTACAGTAATGAACCGAATTCATCTGGTGAGAGACCCGATGATGGACAGAAATGTCTGATAGTGCTTTACTGAGGTGTCCAACACTCCCTACCACATTTGCTTGTCTTTGGTACATATCTCTGAGTTTGCTCGGTCACCTTCTAGCGAAACCTGGAAGGCTTATTCGGTGCGAAGCTGAACTGTTCTCTTATGATCCCCGGTATAATTGCTGTCCTGGACAAATAAGACCAAGATGACAATTTTCCACGGTGGTGGATTTATGCAGCTGACGTTGTGCGTGATAGCTGTTAGATCACCTGCATAAGTAAGCTGTTAGACTGGATGGAGGTGATGAGATGTGTGGGCGTTGGGAAACATTTTGTACCTGAACGCTTTGATGCTATTGCTGCTTTTCATTAGTCAAGTCTATGTGGTATCAGTGTCCGCCAAAACGCTCCGATTATCTTCCGAAGAGGCTATCTGTCTCCAAATTTTTGTCACAGTAGAGGCCTCGGAAAGCAAGCATTAAACTCCAATTCGGATTCATATGTTCCGCATTCTCTAACGTAACGATCTTGATTGATTTTACTAAGGATCTGTTTTCGTCATGTGCCTTAAGTGCGACAAACAAATGTGCTAGTCAATACGTTGGAAATCGTTCCATAGATTACCTCGAATCCTCTGTCGACGTGCGTTGTTTTTGGCATACATACGACTATCGGCAGGTTAAGTGTGCGTGAGGATTTTAACCGAGATCTGTTTTCGCAAAGCCATAACTTTGCTGTTCAAGGTTCGCCAGATGCTCGAATATCACGAATAGGTCTTGGAGATCGCTGGCAGCCAGGTCTATCTTGTTCCAGCCCAGCTTCAACGTTAATTTAACAGAGTCCTGACTTTAATTTCCGAAAACATCTTCAGCTTCTTGTAGATCCTTCACCAACAATGATGTTTGATCACAATAAAATCATTTTCGTATACCCTTAGTTCAATTGCTGGATAAGCCATGTCGGAATATCACTGGAAGACACTTGGATGCTTAACCCCAGTTCACTGTGGCCTTCATTGCCTTTGTCGGCTGGTCCCGTGTACTTCACAATTGAGTAGTTTTTTCCACACTTTGTCACTACAACGTGTGCTTCACACTGAATCCAAGAGTGTGCCTGATCACTCTGCCGCACACGTCATGTTTCAGTGTAGTATCAGCTGTAGAGAAGCATATGGGACCGGTGACTTTCTCACGGGATGCAAGGCCCCAGTTTCGTTCATCCTGGTTAAACAGGCCATTAACATGAGCTCTATCCGAAGTCAAGGAACTTTGGTCAGTTCGTCTGGGGATTGTGCATGTCACTGAACAGCGTGACCAGTACGCAGGATTTCCAATGCGAACTACAGATCTGCTTGGTTTGTTCTATTTGTGAAACACATCAGAAAACATGCTTCTCATAGTCTGCGTTTATTGGGACCACACATTCTGGTATTTCTGATAGAACGATGCCTTATTCTTAGAAGGAATTGCCTTAACTCGAAGGACGAGGCTTGGCTTGCAAAATTTGCTGTACCGCTTCAATGGATGCATCCCTTTTCTCCGTCCCTCTAGCGTTAGGCGGATAAATCACCGCCCATATATCGGTGACATTTTCTCCAATAAAGCTCGACATGGCTCGGTAGTTATGGTGCGAACTTATCGACCGGAGGTTCCATGGTTCAAATTCAACTCCTGCATCTCGACTGCTCCTGGGCAGCCTGACGTGATCCAAGCCCTCATTCTTCCTTCGTGGTGCACGGCAGCTAGGTACCGAAAGGTTGTTAACGCTGAAAGAAATACTAGTTGATTGTTTAAGTGAATTAACAAAGTAATCCAATTCCTACTAGCCTTTCTGTCGTATTGTTGGCCAACTGGTTTCTCACACACTTCCCCTCACTGGTCCTCGGGAGTAATTACTGCCCCATTGTCAGGTCCAAGAATCGCGTCTCTGAGCGCAAGGGAACCTAAGAATTCCTTGGTCGACTTCCTACGAATCAAATTTTATGAGTTGTTTCTAATTATATCCGGCGCCTTACATTCCCAGTCAAGGGACGTCTACATTGCTCCGATTGTATTTCTAGTAACCCAAAATCGCATGGCCCGTTTTCTAGTCACCCCTACTACTCTGCATGGGAATTCTCTGCCCTGTTTGCTCGTCTGAAGCATACACGGATGGCGCTTTTCTCCGTTTTTCACCTAAGAACCCAAGAAAGTAGGTCGGCTTGAAATGATCCTTTTGCCGACGGTGAGTCGCCATCATTGTTCGACTAAGGTCAAAGGAAAGGGATGAGGAACAACCTAAAAGTATGCTTCTGTTTTGCAACAGTCTGGTTTTTGAAACGCCGTGGAATTTTGGCTTTTGATATTCTGTCTTCTGGGAAATTTCGTAGTGAACCCTCCTTTGCACAAGGCAGTAATCCGTCGAGTCACTGGTTTGTCTCAATATCATGTCCATTGGTAGCAACAAATTATCTCATTTGCATAATCGTGCTCAACACAGAACCGTTGACGGTTGTCGCGCAATGCAGTCAAAGCGTCTAGCATCACAGTAATTTAGGACACTGACCAGCAAATGAGTTGAAGATCGTTGCCCAAAGTGGATTTGTCCCTGCCTTTTTGGAAATGGAGCTGTGCATTACGCGGGGTTTCTGAGTCTTGTAGCTAGTTGAATTTTCCGGATAAGGGGATAGGATGACACTATTGCATTTCTACCGATATGGCTGTAGAAACTAACTGTCTCTTCAGGTATTTAGATCGATTTTCGGACAAGTGATCAATATAATTAGCCAGGATAGGACACAGGTCACTCTGGTTTGTTCGTAAGGCGTTGTGCATATTCTTCTGTGTCACGAGAGTGCACATTGGGTACTAATTTAAACCTAATTTTTGGCCATCATCGGGTTTCCGACATCTGGCAAGTAATTGGCCAATATGAGAAGGCTGATAGTTTTGCTAATCTCTGGCGCCGTGACTGTGAAATAAAGCAGAGCTACTGCCAGGATAGTTCGCATATACGAACTCAGTAATTACAAGCAGCAATATGAACGACGCAGTTTGTATCTTGAAATAATATACACAGTACTGAGGGCTGCAACGTCTCTGGGTACGGACGATCGAGACTGAAAATGTTTTGAGGAATTATCATAGAAATTTATTTAGAACAAGGTTTTCGGTAACATGGAGTGCCCACATGGTCAACTAATCGTCTCACCCCTATTGCTGTCAACAAGTCGGTGGCATATTGTCAAAATGGGTAGGTTGCGTGTTATGTACTGAAATGCGAAGTGGGCACCGAGAAATGAGTTGCTGAACAGTTCACCTGTTGCAAATCGCTGCAACTATTCGGGTGTATGCTGCGGGAAAAATGTCTGATAAGTAAAACACAAAATGTCGTTTTTACTGGGTGGGATGCTAAAAATGAGACAATCATCGAGGACCGGCTCCTTCTGTTAACAAAGTCTCGTCCCAAATAAGATTTGTAACTCGGCTTCTAGATCGACAAGTAAACGACGAGCAATGGTGGAAACTGTTGTACACTGTGCAGTAGCCTTGGTTGTGGTGAGGCGGACTGGCTCATACGTTGCTGAGTCGAGATGTGTTTGGCCTGACTGAGTTGGAGTTACCTCAGTTCTGTCTAGCTAAATGGCCGACAACCCACACGCAAAATCGCAAGCGAGATCATAGGTGACAGAGCATTAGCTGCGGGTATCGAGATTTGGCTGCAGCTGCGGTAGACTATGGGTCTGGTAACTTGAAAAGAGCTTTGAGCAAATGTCGTTTGTGACTTAGGAGTTCGGGAAAGATAGTCTTGTCAAGAAGGTCAGATTGCTGAAAATAATCTTGAGATGACCGGAACCCACTGAGAGCCTCAAACCCCATCAGAGTCGCAGTAGGGAAACTCTCAAGCATCCGGGCCAGAAAAGTCAACTGCCAGTTGGACGCTCAAGTAGTCAGTCAGTTAAGCGACGGCTGACGATGATGAGTGTTCATAAAACTGGAGAAACGGAGGAACTGACAGGTTTTGGTGAGTCATACGGACGTCCAGAAAGTCAACTCTGTTATTTACCTCGTACCCAACTGCTAAACTGAGGTCCAGCTGAGTTCCACTGTTTCCTGCATTGGTCCTGTGGTCATTAGGTGTCACCTACATCTCTTGTGTAGAATTTGCCAACAGGGTTGGTCTGATGAGACTGTTGCATGTGCAATTTGGAAAGGCCGTAGAGTTGCGGCAGCTGCATGAGGTGATTCTGTAGTGCATGTATTTGATTTTCTGTCAAAAGGCCTCTCCGTCCAAATCAACGAGACTCACTTTTAACAATGACCCAGTGTCACCAGTCTTTGGTTTTAGACGGAATGGCTAGCGAAAAAAGTACTTTAACTGCGCTTGGGTTTGGATGGTGTACACAGTTTGGACGGATTGCAACATTTGAAGCATACTGGCTACCTCAACCTGACCCCCAGGCTTTGGTTGAAAAGCAAATTGAGCTAGGATGT